CCCCCCCAACCCTATTATAATTTGACTTTTAATAATAGTGACACGATAATTAATATGAACAGTGTCATCCATATAATAGATCTTAACCTATAGGTTAACCCGGGAGAGAGGGGGAGTGCTATAATGTTTCCCTTGTCATTTCCCCATGATAATGATAAAAAGAGAAAAGAGTCCAAGGAAACATTGGGGAAGTCGAAACCATCAAACCATCGTCCATCCTGTAATCTTCTTCTTTTTTATTTATTTATCATTCTTTCTTTTTTGTTTTTTCTTTCTAAAATATATACAATGGAAAGATTTAACTGCCACTGCTCATATCTATAGAATGGAAACTAGAGTAAATTATCTGATCTTTCACTTCCTTTCCCAAACACCTAACACCCCTCTTCTCACAGTCCCCCCCCCCTCAAACTTACCTATTCTATCCAAAATATAAAGCATTCTTTACTAAGAGTTTTATTATGTTGGCAGGTGGGTTAGGAGTGTTTTCTAACACATACGGTTTAATTGGGAACGGGGGAGTTGTCACTTGTTAGGAGTGTTTTGGTAAAACATATAATAAACACAAGTAAAGCGAAATTATTTGGAATTTTAAAGAGAAAAGAGGTTGTAAGGGGGTAGTGGTAGGAGGGGAACCCCGCTGTCGAGTTTTTATCCCAAATTAAATCTGATATCCATTAAACTTATGATAAACATGAAGATTGAAAAAACAGCCACCGGAGATGTAAATATTGTAAACAAAAGAGAGGAATAATAAAGTTTGAAAAAATCCAAAAAGAGAGAGAATTCTGAATAAAAGGAAAAAGATCAATTTAAGATCAAATTAAGTTTAAATCCATACAAAGGAATTGAGTCAAATATTTTAATACCATAGATATCTTTGCAGTTTAATGGTTTATTTCAATTTTAAATTATTTGATCTAACAGAATTCATAGTTTGAAATATCTAAGGTCTTCGACATTGGGTTGTAAAAAGATATAGGGATTAGAAAATCTGAGTTTATGGAAAAGATTCAATTCCTTTGGACTGTACTGTACTGTACTGTACTTTGGACCGTACAATACAAATGTTGTCTCATGAAATCTTAAATATTTAAACTTAATCTAAGGATTAGACAGATTAATTTTAGTTTTTATGGAAATTTTAACTAATATTCAAATTTTTTTTATCATGCAAACATAAAAACGATGGGCCCACACATAGCAAGGCCGGATGGTTTCATTCATGGTAAAATTAGAAAATATCTGCTTAAACTTATTTATTTGGAGAAGAAGGGCGCGGAGCGAAGATACTAAAAATACATATTAGTGCAAACACCTTGAACCCAAAACCAAAACCAAAAATACTTTTTCCAAATAATTCCAGAGAATTTTTTTCTTTTATAAATTAATTTTTCCTAAAATTTCTTGTATTAAAGAAAATGTATTTTAAAAATTAATGATTAATAATTTCCCCTGCTGTTTCACGGGAAATCATTCTTTGCTTTTTTAAACAAACCCAACCACAACACATTCTTCCCCCCCCCCCATCACTAATACTCCCCCCCCCTCATAAACCCTATCATTACCGACAATAGATCACTGTATTTCCGTTAAACGATGTGCAAGGACATTGCTAAAATGAACTTATGAACTTGAAATGTATTGTTGCTACTAAAATAATGTTTAAAAATATCAAAATGTAAATTAATCTAATTTAAATACTTACATTTAAATTATTAACATTTTTCACTGTAATATAATATATTTACGTACATGTATTTATAAAAATTAAAACCGGAGTTCACTGCTTATTTTGCTTATTTTTGAAGTATTACTGTTAACTGTAGTTTTTAAACTTTAATCGTCTGTTATCAATTTTCTCCTCCCACCCCTATCAACCATTCAAACAACTTCAACTACAATTTTCAGCCCCCCCCCCTCCGATCTCCCATCTCATTTTAAATTTTTAATGTATTGCAACCAATCTTCATAAAATAAAAATTCTTGAAAGGAATTGAGTCGTTGCCACAAACTTTGATTTTATAATCCCAATATGTTTGCAACCAAATGTCGTAGACCTTAAATATTTCAAACTCTGAATTCTGGTAAATCAAATAATCTAAGTTTGAAATATCAAAGGTTTAAGCCATCAAGTTGCACAGATATAGGGATTAGAAAAATTAAGGCTGTGGCAAAGACTCGACACCTCCCTCAAAGAAATCCCCTAAGAAAGGAAAATATGTTTACCTGCTCGAACATGAACATCTCGGGATATAATTTTACCAAGTTCGTTTTCTGATTGACATCTGTAGGTCTGAACACAAACAAATAATTAGTTTACGGCAAAATAACGTAAATGAGACAGAAAAACGTAAGTAAGTGAGGGCGAAAGTGAAAAAACGTAAGTGAGAAAGCACGTGAGTAAGTGTAAAAGAACGTAAGTGAGTGAGAAAGAAAATAAGTAAGTGAGAAAGAAAGAAAGTAAGAAAGACAGAATGAACGTAAATTAGTGAGAAAGAAATAACGTAGGTAAGTGAGAAAGAACGTAAGTAAGTGAGAAATAAAATAAGTTAGTGAGAAAGAAAGTAAGTTAGTGAGAAAGAAAGTTAGTAAGTAAGAAAGAAAGTGAATGAGAAAGAACGTAAGTAAGTGAGAAAGAAAGTAAGTAATTGAGAAAGAACGTAAGTAAATGAGAAAGAAAGTAAGTAAGGGATAAAGAACGTAAGTAAGTGAGAAAGAAAGAACTTAAGAGAAAAAGAACGTGAGTATGAGAAAAAGAATGCAAGCAAGTTAGAAAGAACGTATGTGAGATGGTACTGTGTAAGTGAGAAAGAACGTAAGTAAGTGAGAAATAAATAACTTAAGTAAATGATAAAGAACGTAAGAAAGTGAGAATGAAAGAACGTAAGTAAGTGAAAAAAACAGAAGTAAGTGAGAAAGAACGTAAGTAAGTGAGAAAAAACGGAAGTAAGTGAGGAAAAAGACAATATAGAAGGAAATATAACTACTGTAAGTTTAAGAGCTCTGAATCCTAAGAATTAAGAAGATAGTTTAACAGAGTTCCCACCAAGCTTGGCTGAACTCAGGCCAGAATTCAAGGAAAGAGTCACATAGTTTTAACTTTATCCAAGCGGAAAAAAATTTCAAGAAAAACACATAATTTTCTTACGGTTGAAAAATTATATCATTCTAAGTTGTTGTACCCAAGGAATACGAATTATTCATCGTACATTTCTTAACTTTGAAACCCATCCAGGGATAATCCTGAGAATTCACAATTTCCGGGACACCATGTATTGGATGTTTGGGATTCAGCATTATTTCAGGACACCCTGTACTCAATTATATCCTGTATTCTGGTACACCCTGTATTACAAACTAACCTGTGCATGAACCTCCTGTTTGTAATCTGTGGCTCGGAAAGGAGGAAGGATAAGGTTTCCATTCTCCAGAACCTAAATTTATACATTTGATTGATGTACATCGTAAATAATATTTATGTATTTTTTAATGTTTTTTTATCTGTACTCAGAGTTTCAAAAAACTATGTAAAATGTGAGTAAAAAGTAAGGCATCTAAGGGAGAGGGGGTATAAATTTTAGACGCGAAATGAAAAGAAGGATGACGTTTGGTAATTTTTTGGTTTGACGAACGATATGAGATGGTTCAATTTGGGCTATGTATGGAAGGGTTTGGAGAGAAGGATGGAAGATGGTTCAAGGAGGGTTTAGTATTGCAGGGTTGGGAGAGAAGGATGGAAGATGGTTCAAGGAGGGTTTAGTATTGCAGGGTTGGGAGAGAAGGATGGAAGATGGTTCAAGGAGGGTTTAGTATTGCAGGGTTGGGAGAGAAGGATGGAAGATGGTTCAAGGAGGGTTTAGTATTGCAGGGTTGGGAGAGAAGGATGGAAGATGGTTCAAGGAGGGTTTAGTATTGCAGGGTTGGGAGAGAAGGATGGAAGNCTAAAAAAATCCCCGGAAGATCAAGACAACGGTTATCTTGATTATCTAATAATCGATGATTTTTGAATATCCTAAAACCTTTTGTCATCTTCTTTTGCGAGGAAATGGCTAAAACTTGTTTTTAAACAGATGGGTAAAAAATCTGTTCTCCTTTATCTGATTTAGGATTTAAGGTTTTCTGTAGTAAATTGGTTGAAGGCACTTTTTGTAACCCCCCACTTCTCTGTCCTCCTCTAGATTTACCTGTCTTAATCCAGGGATAGTTCCAATAGGTGTTCCATCCGACTTAGTCCAGCTGATACTTGGGAACGGGGAACCCCGGGCCTGGCAGATTATTTCAGTTCCTAAAAATAAAAAACGTTCCATTTTCATAACCATCCTAATTCAATATTGTTGAGATTGTGAAAATAGAATAAAAAATTACACTAGTTACGAAAATTTCTTAAAATTTTAAATAATGTCCTGGTCTGATTCTTCTAATCAGCATGAATTGGAATAGCAACAGTGAGAAAAGATATTCATGGCTAAATTAATCAAGCTTTATTTAATCCCCTTAAGGTAGTACAGATTATCATTATTAATGTATCTTATTAATACTAAATGATATCCTTTTAATCTATAAATGGATTTTAAAATATTTTTATATAAAAAAACTGATCCCCGATTCCCTTCTTTTATTAGCTGTCAAATCTTTCATTGCTAAATTCAAGAAATATTTTTGTAGATATGATAAAATTGAAAATAATTATTTTTATCTAATTGTTTTTATTATTTGAATTTGTTGTTATACTTTTTTTAAATTAGTTATTTGTTTAATTGTTACCAGTGGAGTTGCTGAAGTCGACATTATTCGGTGGTTCCTGGATAAAAACAGGTCCAGACAGATCTTGGCAGTACACTAAATAGTAAACATTGCAGTACAGTGAAACAAAATGGTAATTTTTTAATTTAATATATTTGAGATTTATCATTAGCTTTGGAATATTAGGTTAAACCTTTAAGCAATGAGTTTGACAGTTTTTTGTGAATTTTCCTAGACCATTTTTTTGTGGGACCTGGCAGGGCCTTCAGGGTGGCCAAAACTTTTTTGAACCCATCCGTACAAAAAACCGTACATTTTCAGAAGAAATCCGTACAATCCGTACAATTTTCGAGAAACAATCCGTACAATCCGTACAATTTTTTTTTTTAAATATTATCCAAATTAATATTTTATTAAGGTTGCTGATTGTTCCTTAGTGATGATAAGAACTGTCTCCGCAGATTCACTAATCGCGAATTCCTGTAAAATAGGAGAATATTAAGTCAAGTTTTCATTTCTCGCTGAACCTCAGGGGTTTCTCAAAAGTTGAAGACGTAATTTCAAGTAATCCTCAATCTTATGCGGGAGATGACTGATTTACAACGGTACCCTTGACACTATGGTATTAGTACCTTTGAAACCTTCGAGTGAAAATGTGATATCTTTTTTCTATTAGAAAGTTGATATTCTTATTGCTTGTTTCTCAGAAATAGTAATTTGCGGATTTAGGCAGTCTAGACAGAAGGAGGAAATTGACAAAATTCAACACTGTTTAAGCTATTTGACAACATGTTCCTGACAAAAGGTGTGAATATAGGGAACGCAACTCTCAAAAATAAACATGTTGGTGGGTCACTTATAACTACGTCCATAGTCCCTTTAAGTGTTATCATTTGGNTTAAAAAAAACGGTGTATTTTCCAGGATAAAATCCGTACAATCCGTACAATTTGAAAACAAATCCGTACAATCCGTGCAATCCGTACAATCCGTACAATTTTAGGGTTAAAAAAAAATCAATCCGTACAATCCGTACAATCCGTACATTTTGGCCACCCTGGGCCTTCAAAATGGGGGCATTTGTTTAAGACAAGACAAAAGTTCTATTTATATATATTGTATATATTTGGGTGAAGTAAACAATGAAATGATTATGAATAATTGGGCTGGATTTGACATTATACAATTTGAATTCACAAAGTTTAATCATGCAAAGCGCTAAATTATCTAAATTTTTGATCCTACCATGCAATCTGGTACATCCGTTCGACAGTGAATAAATTGAATTGAAAGTACTCATTTTGATATGTTCAATCTTTCAAAGTTCAAATATTGTTAGAAAAATTGATAAAGAAAGAAAGGAACGAAAAAAAATTGCACAAAAAGAAAGAATTACGACCATTTCATAATTTTTTCAAGTAATGAAACAAATTGACGTGAGGACGGTCTAGTAAATGAACAAAATCAAAATATAACGAAAGGAAGGATGAAAGGATTAAGGAATGAAAGGATAAGTAAAGTGATAAATGAAAGAAAAAACATAAGTATAAAAATGAAAGGATGAATAAATAAAAGAATGCTAAATTAAAGTAAAAACTAATAAAATACTAATATGTAATATGATGAATACAAAAGATTGAGTAAAATGATAAATTAACAAGAATGAGTAAAATGATAATTAAAAAGAATGAGTAAAATGATAAATTAACAAGAATGAGTATTGAGTAAAAAGATAATTAAAAAGAAGGAGTAAAATGATAAATACAAAAGAATGAGTAAAATGATAAATACAAAAGAATGAGTAAAATGATAAATTAACAAGAATGAGTAAAATAATAATAAAAAAGAATGAGTAAAATGATAATTAAAAAGAATGAGTAAAATGATAAATTAACAAGAATGAGTAAAATGATAAATACAGAAGAATGAGTAAAATGATAATTAAAAAGATTGAGTAAAATGATAAAAACAAAAGATTGAGTAAAATGATAAAAACAAATGGTTGAGTAAAATGATAAAAACAAAAGATTGAGTACAATGATTAATAAACAAGAATGAGTAAAATGATAAATACAAAAGATTGAGTAAAATGATGATTAATAAGAATGAGTAAAATGATAATTAAAAAGAATGAGTAAAATGATAAATTAACAAGAATGAGTAAAATAATAATTAAAAAGAATGAGTAAAATGATAAATACAAAAGATTGAGTAAAATGATAATTAAAAAGATTGAGTAAAATGATAATTAAAAAGATTGAGTAAAATGATAATTAAAACGAATGAGTAAAATGATAAATTAACAAGAATGAGTAAAATAATAATTAAAAAGAATGAGTAAAATGATAATTAAAAAGAATGAGTAAAATGATTAATAAACAAGAATCAATAAAATGATGAATAAAATGAATAAAGATTAAGGGAGAAATGAAACAATGGCTAAAATAAGAAGAATGAATACAGAGAGAGAAGTGAAGACATATGTTTATATGTACAGGGGTGTATATATTGTATACAGAATAATCTCCCCGGGCCCAGAAACATAAATAGAGATAAAGAAGAAAATAAGAAGCGTATGGATCAAGTTTAATTTCGCTCAAAATCTTCAAATTCAAGACGTTCTTCTAAAAAAAGTAAAAATTACCCCCCCCCCCTCTTAATCACAACCACTTGTCTTAGTTTACAAACGCCTCTGAACCGGAAACAATAAAAAAGCAATAATTTACAAAAAAATTAGCAATTAAGGAATTATTTCTTTTGCAAAAATTCCAGCTTTGTTAAACTTAAAATATTGCAAAAATTTACATCAAACTTTCGTTTTAATCATTTTTGTGAGGGTTGTTCAACCCTGCTAAAGATTTAAACATCCTGGGGAAATTCCCAGAAACATTTTAATTTTTGCACGTGTCAGTTTGTGTTCGTATGTCAGTTTTTCTAAATAATTCTCTTTTTATTTGACATATTTGTAAATTTACCTGCATTCAGAAGGTAGAAGAAGAAGAAGAAGAAAGGCGAGGTTGTGAGCCTTCCCCCAGGCATCATGATCAACCTGGAAAAGGAAATAAAATATTTTTATTTATGATGAAAACCTCCCCCCATCCCCCTCTTCCCCGTCCGTCAACTTTAACAGTTTAACGTGCTATGACCTACAAGACGAAATTTTTGAAGCTGAACATGGTGACTTTTCAGAATTCTAATTAATCCGATAGATTCCTCTTGTTATCAAGATCTTGAAATCATAAACCGAAACCTTAGCCTTACATCTCCGGAACCTAGACACCAAACTCCCAGAAACTTAGCACTAAATCTTCGGAACCTAGACACAATATCTCCCGGAACCTTAGCAATAAATCTTCGGAGCCTAGACACAATATCTCCCGAACCTTAGCACTAAATATCCAGAACCTAGACACAAAATCGCCCGAACCTTAGCACTAAATCTCCTGAACTTAGAATTAAATCTCCGGAACCTTAGCACTAAATCTCCTGAACTTAGACATCAAATCTCCGGAACCTTAGCGATAAACCTCCGGAACCTAGAAAACGAATCTTCGGACCCTTAGCGCTAAATCTCCGGAACCTAGACACCAAATCTCCGGAACCTAGACACCAACTCTCCGGAACCTAGTCACCAAATCTCCGGAACCTTAGCGCTAAATCTCCGGAACCTAGACACCGAATCTCCGGAATCTTAGCACTAAATCTCCGGAACCTTAGGTTTAACTCTCCGGAACCTAGACACCAAATCTCAGGAACATTAGCACTAAATCTCCGGAACCTAGACACCAAGTCTCCCGAACCTAGACACCAAACCTCCGGAATCTAGACACCAAACCTCCGAAACCTAGCACCAAATTCCCGGAACCTTAGCACTAAATCTCCGGAACCTTAGCGCAAAATCTATGGAACCCAGACACCAAATCTCCGGAACCTAAGCACTAAATCTTCGGAACCTTAGTACTAAATTTCCGGAACCTCATTACTGAAAATTAGTAACAAAATCTAGAACCTTTTTCTCTAGCAGTCGGTACTAAAAGTAGTTCTACCTCGTTCCTACAACAGAAGAACAGTGTAATATGTTTAAAAGTTTATAAAACTAAGAATAGAATTTCCCTGGACTACTTTTAATAGTTTTAACAAAATCTATCTGGAATTGTTGGTAAAAAAAAAACTTGATATCATGTATGCATATTAGTAAAAGCGTAATTTATGTCTGTTGGTCTCTGTTCTAGGCTAGCTAATTAGATGTTTTAAGAAGTAGCATACAAATTTTCTTCAACGGTACAAAAATTTCAGATTCCTTCCCCCCCCCCTCCCTTTCCATAAAGGCTTTACAGAGAAAATTTAAAATTCTTTTAATATCCCCCCCCCAAAAAATCAAAAAAACATGAGCATTTAAAACTTAAAACAAATTCTGTAAAATATTGCCCATTCAGTTTGTGGCGAAATTTATCGGACATAAGTGATATTATACCCCCCCCCCCCCCCCTGTTGGTGTAAAAGTGAGTCCCTGAAGATCGGTCAATGAAGCCTGGAATCATAACAATAGAAATAAAAGAATAGAAAGAGGAACTGTGCTCTGTATATACAGTTACCAGAAACCAGGGAACAGGTGCTAATAGTTAAACAAATTAAAAATCTTATTCAATTCAATTCTGGTATTTTCATCTTTGTTTATATACAGGACTAGCTTGGGAACCCAGCTTTGCCTGGAAACTAATCTTTATTCATAAAATTCAACCCGCTCATCTTAGAATTGTTAAAACAAGCAAAATACATTCTTGTGGTTCCACCAAGTTTGAGGCAAATCGGTCCAGGGGTTCCTGAGTTATCATCATGCATCCACACAGACAAACAGACTACTTTATATATATATAGGATACTCTTTTTTGCTTTTTAATATGTTTTTCCTTGGTCAGATCGTTTCTTTCTCAGTTCTAATCTTTGCTTTCTTCAATGTTTATGTTTGAAATGTGCTTTTAGATCAAAAATCAGCCTTCATATGAAATCATATTTCTTGTTGCATACCCTTAATCTAACCCTATACCCCCCCTCCTCCCCTTTCTATACAAACTCCCGGCCTCAGGATATACATATTAAAAATGTCAAAAGTATTAATTCTTCAGTTTAAAATATAAGAAAAATGTTTAATTTTCTCCCACGGTATTGAGTACGAGCAAATTCTAAAATTAGAATAGCATAAATGTTTAATAACAATTAATTATCTAGATTTTTTTTACTCATCTTTATATGGTTTTATATTATTTTATCTTCTGGTCATTTGAATACCATCGTTTATTTTATATAACCCAACATCTGTTTGAAATATCCTATCTTCTGTTCTTTTATAAATCATTGCATTCTTCTTTTCTTATATAAACCATCTTTTGCCTTCTGACATCTATTCTAATACAAAAATCGGTTCTTCTTATATAAACCATCTTCTGTTCTTCTGCTAGCAATTTTCTCTTGTATAAAAAATCGGTTCTTCTTATATAAACCATCTTCTGTTCTTCTGCTAGCAATTTTCTCTTGTATTAAAAATCGATTGTTCTTATTTAAATCATCTTCTGTTCTTCTGCTAGCAATTTTCTGCTCTTGTATAAACAATCGATTGTTCTTATATAAACCATCTTCTGTTCTTCTGCTAGCAATTTTCTCTTGTATAAACGATCGATTGTTCTTATGAAAATCATCTTCTGTTCTTATTCTAGAAATTTTCTATTCTTCTGCTCGCAATATTCTATTCTTATATAAATCATCTTCTGTTCTTTTATAAACCATCTTCTGTTCTTATATAAACCATCTTTTGTTCTTATATAAACCATCTTCTGTTCTTATATAAACCATCTTTTGTTCTTATATAAACCATCTTCTGTTCTTATATAAACCATCTTTTGTTCTTATATAAACCATCTTCTGTTCTTAAATAAACCATCTTTTGTTCTTATATAAACCATCTTCTGTTCTTAAATAAACCATCTTTTGTTCTTATATAAACCATCTTTTGTTCTTATATAAACCATCTTTTGTTCTTATATAAACCATATTTTGTTCTTATATAAACCATCTTCTGTTCTTATATAAACCATCTTTTGTTCTTATATAAATCATCTTTTGTTCTTAAACCATCTTCTGTTCTTATATAAACCATCTTCTGTTCTTATATAAACCATGTTCTGTTCTTATAAAATCAATCTATTGTTCTTATATAAACTATTTTCTGTTCTTATATAAACCAAATTCTGTTCTTATGTAAACCATGTTTCTGTTCTTATATAATCAATCTATTGTTCTTTTGGAAACCATAATCTGCTTTCATATGCACAATTCTTAAAACTAAGGGATTTTCCTATCAGCAGGGATTACAATTCTTCAATTGTGGACTCTGCTATAGTCCGAGCTAACGCTATACCAAGACAAGTTGCTTTAAAGAAAATGGAGAAAAAGGAGAAACTAGATCGAGTTATAATCTCTATCTCATTTAATCCCCAACTGCCTTGTATCTCTTCCATCATACAGAAACATTGGAGAACTATGGTCCAGGATCCTTGGATGAAGGAGATTTTCAAAATCCACCTATGGTTACCTATAGGAGACCTCCTAATCTCAGGGATAAACTCATCCGAGCCAGAATTCCAGATCCTCCTAGAATGAGGCCAAAGAGGCTAATACCTAGTATGGAACCTTGTGGTTTAAATTGCCCAACTTTTCCCTACATAAAGCCTGGAACAGTTAACCAATCCTTTAATATCAGTAAGAAGATTGAGATTAATGGAACTTTCAACTGTAAGACCAGATATGTAGTTTACTGTATTACATGTGAACAGTGTAAACTACAATATATAGGACAGACAACAAGATCTTTAGATGAAAGAGTGAGAGAACATATTGGTTACATTAGAAATCTCCATACAAACCAGCCTACAGGAGAACATTTTAACCTTCCGGGACATGAACTCTACCATCTAAAAGTTAGCGTTCTAGAGAAGGTTTGGGACCTCGGAAGAAGTTTACTTGAAGTAGGAGAATCTAAATACATCAGAAATTTTATGACTGGACTCAATGGAATGAACAGAAAAAAAATAGTTTTTATTTAATTGTAAACTGTAATTAAGTATCTTTTTAAAAAGAGCATTGTTTATGTCCAATTCTTTAAAAGGTTTAAATATCCCTACTTAAACAAAGCCACCCCCCCCTCCCCCCGATTTACGTAAAAGTTCGTTAATTAGATCGACCCCCACCACAACTTTATACACACGTGACACATACATCTTAACAGTTTGTTTTTAATCTTCCTAACAGAAACAATCTCAAGGAAAAATAATTGTCTTAAACATTTTTTAAAAAGTGAATATTTGCAAATTATCTTTTTTTCCATCTCATGATCTGAGTTCGTTTGCCTTTTGTCCATTTTACAGGCATTTTTTTTAATAATCTTTTTTGTTTGTTTATTTTCTTGTGGTTTTTACCGATTTTTTTTATCGATTTTGATGGTTATTTTATCGTTAAAACTGACGAGGGTCAACCCAGACCGAAATGTATTTTCAATAAAAACTAACATCTACTTTTTTCCTTTTAAGAGGTTTTGTCCATCACCATCACCGAATTTTAAATATAAATCATCTTCAGTTCTCATATAAAAAAATCTTCAGTTATCATACATACAATTTCTGTTCTTAAATGAAAAAAAAATTTAATCCTTATTTACACCATCTTGTTATAAAATTAACAATATTATATTAATATACTAATTATTAACAATCTTCTGTTCTTATAAAACCCATATTTGCTACAGCAACACTGATAGAATACCTAGAATACCACAATACCGTTGGTAAAGTATACTCCAACAAGTGCCCCCCCCCC